TGATTCGAGCCGTGGTGCTTAGAGAGAGAGAGAGAGAGAGAGAGATATATATATATATATGTATATGTATGTGTACCTATATCCCTTTTCTATACCTAACCTCTGGGCTCCTACCTCTGTCTTCTCGGGATTCTTGATGTAGCCAGTGGCCAGGCAATCGCCTGGCAGGAACTCAGGTTCCTTTTAGGGCTAGAGCTTAAGGTGGCGTGAAGAAGCAGTTTTCGCGCGAAGTCTGAGGTCGACATACCAGTTGCAACAATCAAACATCTACGTTGAACCCACAGAGGAAAAGCTTGAACTCTTGTTAAGGCGGGGATATCCGCAAAACTACGATGCAGGAAGAAGTGTAAAGCTTCAGGGTTCAGGGTCTGGACCAGTCATGTTGCTTGGGAGGTCCGCCTTTTGGCTCAGAAACTTTGAGAGGCAAGAGCTCCCCAAAAAACTGCAGAATGCTCGAGACGAACTCAGGCAAACCCCCAGACAAACATGCAACCCTGCATAGGCCCCTTCAAAAGGATTGTAACATTTGCAGGGCGCCTTTTGGCATTTTACATCAAACTGTAGGGAGTCCAAGATCCCTACGTTATCCGCTGAATCACTTCAGTTCATGGTCCCGGGAAGAATTGAGCCAAGGTGCTGTTGGTTCAAGACTCGGGGAATGGAGCTTAGAAATCGAAACCCAGGGTTAGGATTTAGGGTGTAGGAAGTAAACCCTAAACCCTCAATACTGGGGTGTGAAGAGTTTGTCTTGGAAAAGCCCAAAAGAGGCCATCAGTCACTTTGAGGCCGCAATTTGTTCTGGTTTGTCGTTGTATTGGGGGTGGTCCCTGTGAATGCGGTGATGAGGGGCTTCAACAGGGAATCCTGCGAAGCGGCAATGCAGGAATGCGTCCTATGCAATCCCCTCCCCCTGTTACCAATATCATATTGAAAGACCGTTCTCAAAACAGGGTGCCCTTGGGGACCCTGAGGATCTGTCGGAAGTACAGGCAGCTTTGGGGGTCCCAAAGCAAAGCTCTGCAGCGAATGTCTCAAGAAACTCACAAATAAGACCGACACTACTTTCTGGGAGCCCAACAAGGACTCCATGTAAGGGGGGTCATGGGGACCCTTGGACAGCCTCAAGAAGGTCTTGATTGCAGACCCCCGGGATGAACTTTTGCAAGTCCACACTGAACCGTAAACAGTATACCTTAAACGCCAAAACCCCCACAAACAGCCCAACTCCTAGCGCAGGGACTTGAATAAGCAGACTGGAGAGGGTATAGAGAAGGTTCGTAATTATTCAGGCTTCACACTGCACAACCATACGTTATTAGTAGTTATGCAGGCTTCCAAATTAAACTCGAACCGCCTCCAATGAAGAGCTCGCCAACTTCTCCCGGACCCGCGAGCTTCAACGACCGCTCCTGTCGTGCTCTACTTGCAAGCTCAGGGCATTTGCAGCCCAGCCGAGTTAATACAAACGAGGTGTTGGGCTACAGCTATATGAGGATTATCAGGAAAAGGCTGGTAAGTAGTCAGGCTTCAACAGTACTACTAGAAGGCACAGGGATTTTCTCAGCATTAGATTTGGTTCGGTCAGGAGGCTCATCAATACAGAAAAAGCGTTGACGCTGTAAAGCTACATGACACAATAACAATGCTGTACCAAATTAGCGAGTGCGCACTGTAGAAACCTACAGACAAAGGCAGAGGGCATTGACCGGAGTCAGAATTTGGTGCGGAGTTCCTCTCAGTCTAATAACGTCACAACAAAATAGGCACGTATGGCCTTGCTAGCTTGTGAAAATCCCTTCTTGAAGCCGCGTCAAAATGGAAGGGACTAAAATGCACAGAAGTGTTGTACCCGCACCTGTGCCCCTTTAGGCACACTCCTCCTAGGCGCAGGCTTCAATCCAGCAGACGTAAACCCTGAACCTCCCAAAACGAGCCCGGCTGAAATTCCCGAAGCATAGAACGGTGACATCCCGGCCAGCGCCCAGGATTTTGCAATACCCCGAAGAAAGACCAGAATTCGTGAAAACCCGGAGCTTACACCGCCCTACGCCCTAAACTCTAAACCTGAAGCCGTAAAGGCCCAAAAAGCCCCCCAATCCTCTATCTTCTGCTCATCCTTGGCTGATGGTGAAGGAGAAAACGATTATGATGAGTCGAGGGCTCTGATTAGGGTATAGGGTTTTTGGGCTTAGCACGACCACCTTCAAGCTTTGCTGAAAGGTATGCGGGTTGAAATTCGAAACTTGCTTCCTTCATGGTATGACTGCGAGCATGTACTGCATAATGTACATCTAGCTGACTGTTGACTCATTGCCGGGAGACATCAGTGGCTACTCAAGATGTATCCTTCTTTGGTTGCATCAGAACTGCTTCCTTATAGTTTCGCTTTTTTTGGTGGGCCTTATAGAATACATGATTGAGAATCATATCGAACAATGACACAGATTGTCCACTGCCATGGATTACGGAGGGGCCCTCCGGCTTGGGGGCTAGTCGAAGGAATGGGCCATCGGAGCTAGTAAATAGATTCCTTTTGGGAGGTTTATATGGGTCCCTTCCTTCTTTCCTTAAGGGTCAGGAGCAAGGAAAAATCCATGGCAGCATGGACGGTTGCAGGGCCAGGTCAAGTTGAAGCTTTAACCTGTAGTTTGCAACTTTCTGATTGATCAACGGACAGGGGCTTTGCATTGAAGTTTTAGGGAAGCGCGCACTTTTTTATCGTAGTCCAACAGAGGGAGTTTCCCAACAGCTGATGCCCCTTACATACCAACCAAAACATAAGATCACAATCTCTTGGGACGGGTAGGAAAAGCACTAGAATTCAAGCAACCCCCGTTGTCTCATGTCGGCGGTATCCCTGGAGAAGAAGTATGTCAAAGGCCATGCTTCATGGATGTCGACCGCGGTGAATGGAGAGGCATGTCCACCGCAACAAGAAATAGTTTGAGAAGAACCTAGCCCACGATTCTGCCTTATGGTCTTGATGCACAAGTAGACTGCTCCCACGCGACCTCCGCTAAAACAGTAGACAAGCTAAATCTGCAAGCGCCATCCTTCTGCACAAGATCAATGCTGGCCAGCTGAATCCGCATTAGAAAGTTCAATGATGCCGCAAACCATCCAGGCTATAATTTCAGTTGAAGGAGAACGCGACCGATGCGAAACAGCGTCGGCGTACGTGCTCGGGTCAAACACGCAGAAGTTGACATAGGAGAACGGCCTGTTTCCCGCTTGCACACTTGAAGTTCTGCTTCATCCCACTTTCACCAACTCTAAGGTTGAAAGTATGTGCCCGAAACATGGGCCCTTGCTGACACTAGGCGTTCGGGGGTCCCTACAAGTATAAACCCAGTAAGGGCCCATTCTGGGGGTCTATAGTTCTAACCTTTCTACGAGAATCGCCAATCGGAGCAAACTGCAAAATCCCGCCTGAACCCGCCACTCCTGACCCTAACCATTCGACATGTCCAAACCCCCGAACCCAAACACTAAACCCCTAAACTCAAGAAGACCCCTGGCCTCCTCAACCCTATCAAGCCCTAAACCAGCCGCCCTTTGACCCCAGGGTCTAGGTTTAGTTCGGGTTTGGAGGTTTAGGAAGGGTTTGGGATTTGCGGGTCTGCAAGGGTTTGGGGATGTAGCGGTTCAAGCATGTTTGGGTTTGTGCTTCTTAAAAGGTCTAAGTCTAAGCAAACCTAAACCGAGAGATTGCAGAAGCATGGCACTTAGACCTGAAGCCTGCAGCTAAATGCAAGGTCTCCCCATGTTCGAAATTACTCCTGAACTGTGGACAGGACATGTGGAGTTGAAAAGCTGCTTACCCTTCGTTCATTTTGGAATTCCTCAAGAAGTTGCCCCCTCATGAGCCGCCCCAAAAACATGCATTCCCTAGAATCTTCGTCCGAAACTCTAAACTCTCTAAACCAAGAAGCTCAGAACCCTAACTAGTTCTGCATTTTCCCACCCGCCTGCCGATGGGGACGACCGTCCCTAAACCATCCACGTTGCCTGGGGTTGACACTTCGCTCAATTAGCATGGAACCCCTGAAAAGATGCCTCAATTTAAGGACGATAGTCTTTCAAGAAACCTTCACTTCCCCTTGAAGTGAGACAGGCTTTGATTTCTGAAAGACTGCTCCTCGTATCTAGAGAAGAGCCTTTGGGGTAGCTTAGCTCTTCCGGAAAGCGCACTGTTAGATTTCACAACTGCATCTATGGTCAAGCCCTGGTGGGCCCCTCCCCTCCACCCACCACTCTAAGCTCTGAATCAGGATTCAAGCATAACACCCCCACACCCCCCCCGTGGTCATGTGGCCTGTCTTTTGGGTCTTGTGGGTTAGATTAAGGTGTAGCGAGGTTTGTGCCCCCACCCCAACGGTATGGTGGCTGTTTCCAAGCGCTAAATCAGGATTCAAGCATAACACCTCCACGCCACCTGTGGTCCTGTGGCCTGTGGCCTGTGGCCTGTGGCCTGTGGCCTGTGGCCTGTGGCCTGTGGCCTGTGGTCTGGGTCTTGTGGCTTAAAGTAAGGTTTGGAGAGGTTTGTATTGTTTGTAGAGTATTCAGAACCTTTCCCCCCCTCCCCCTGTGGCTTATGTTTTGGGTCATGTTGTTTGCATTAGGTTTATGGAGGGGATATAGTGGTGCACAGAAGGTTGCAAGAAGGGTTACTGAGGGTTCATGGTACCATTGAACATTATATAAGACGAGGGCCAACCCCCATCCCTGTGACTGTTGGTATTTTTGAAGCGCGACAAAAAAGCATAAAGGGCCCAAAGTGACGACAGTTCTGAGTGTCGCGAGGAGAACCGCCCTGGTTCCTGTGACTGTTGGTACTCTTGAAATGTGATGAAAGCATGAGGGGCCAAAAGTGATGACAGTCACAAGGATGGAGGCTTTGAGGCGCCAAAAACGACGACAGTTACGAGTATGGCGAGCCCGAGGGACCCCATCCCTGTGACTGCTGGGACTTTTGAAGCATGTACTTGGGGGAGGTGGGGGTGAGGGGGTTGGGACCGCACAGCGCAGGACCATCTATGGTCCCTTATGCCTGGCATCCCGCATTAAGAACTCAACTACATGCACTCGGGTTTGGGCACATACCCGTTTGGCAGCTCTACGCCAGTGGCCTGAACGATTCTAGATTCAGGTGTACAGCATGCGTTCATGAGGGAATGAAAAGTACCAAAGATATGGCGCATCGTTTGACCGAATCTTGGTAAAGTCCCAGTATATCCCTTGGGTGCCCTGGGTCCCTAAAGGTGAGAGTCTCTAATGTTATCCAACATTGAGAAACCCATTCTGACCCCTAAGCCCTGAACTCTGGATCCTGTGTTTACAATCTGTACATCCTTACATACCTCCGATACATTGCTCAGGGTCCTAGCTGCTGGCGGCGACCTTGAAGTGGGAGACGCCGACGCTGGCCTGATGAAAAAAAAACTGGAAGTACGTGGTTCCAGAAAAGAAGGGTCCCTTTTGGAGATCGCCAGAATAAGGATATTGCAGTATGTTTTTGTGTAGCGAAGCGACTCCAATATTTGGGAAGGATTCGGAAGAGGATTGTATACAAAGCCCTATCCCACGTGACGTTATACCACAACTATAGTGGAGGTTCCAGTAGGTTTGGGGGTTGAGGGGCAGCCGGTGTTGACAACTGCAACTCCAACCCTTCCTTGCCCATGCCTCCGTGGGACCGTAGAGGTTGTGAATCTCCAGGTCTGGCCTTAGTCCCTCTTACCCTAGGCAAAACCTGTAGTTCTAAACCCTGGAAGTATAGGAAGGAAACAGTACCCCTAAGCCGCAAACCCTGTAAAACAAGATAACATTGCACCTTCGATTCCATCTCCAGTGTCCGTCAGTAGCAGGATCCCTGGCCTCCCCCAACTCAACGTGGAATCTCATCATACAGCCGCAATTTAGGAAGGACTGTGTTCTTTATCATCCTCTTTTCACGGCGCTGTCCCAGCGGCATGTGGCCCAGGATCTGAGAGCAGGTTGCAGTCATGAGGGCCTCCCCGATAGTGAGGACGCGTCGCAAAGATTGTCGCACCTCAGCAGGCCGTTGGGGGGTTTTAGGATCTTGCGGTCTAGGGTGTAGCATGTAAGGTTTAGAGGTGTTTGACTGGTTACCGCCGTTGTGATTGACATATTTCACATATTGCCGGATCGTTGCTACTGTGGCAAGTGATGTCAACAACAACAACAACAACAACAGCATCAAAGATCAGGACAGGTGTGTTCTCGGGGTGTGTAGAATATGGGTGGTCTTTCAGGGGTGAAACGTACACAACCCTGGTGATTATGATCAAGATGATAATAGTGGATATCATGGATGTTAGACGACTCACTCATTGTGCACTCGTCACATGTCGCAGTCGTAGTTGTCAGCAACAGACCAGTAGTAGCAGGAGGAGGACGAGTAACGGGTGCTGCTGTTGCTGTTTTCGTTGCAGCAACTGGAATAATGGTGGCTCTTTGTCGCGGTGATGTAATTACCGTGGTCGCCTAGTTCACCAAGTTTGCATCCAACCTGAAGTCCACGCCATCATCCGTCTCAAGTCAGGGCTGTACATACCAAGACCACAGAATCCCTTACCAAACCGTCTAACGTCAATCTCAGAGAGCATACGGTGAGCAGAGCATCCATGCTCAAATCAGAAGAACATCATGCAGCCGCCGGCAGTCGCCAGCCAAGGCAGCCTTACCTCCTTCGGGGGACGATAGTCATGGCATTGCCTGGATACCCAAAGGGTGAAAAGGGATGACAAAGCGGCCTGACCCCGTATATAGTCCCTAAACCTGCTTCATGTCCAGCGGCACTCTGAGCCTCCTCGGGGTTTCCTTAGTCCCAGGTACGCTTGGAGGAAGAAAGATTCTTCTTGCAGTTCCATAGTCGTGCATGCCATAACTTCCCAAACAGCACATGAAATCCTGTTTTTGACCGAGGTTCTCTCCAGGTAATTCACAAACTCCACCAGCCTCCCATGAACAGTGCTTTTCCAGTGTCTTTTGGGGGGTGCGTAGCACTTTTATTTGGATCTTTGGCGGAGGTTAGAGCGATGGTCTCCTGACTCCTTGACTCCGGCATCCTTCGGCTCTCTGCAACACATCTGCAAGAGGTGAGGCGTTTGAGGGTTCAGTTTCTGTTGGTCTTTGGTAAAGCATGAGGCATCAGGACATAACCTTGGTTAGGAAATCCATCTGTATGCTCCCGCTCTTCCTGCTCAACTCCTGCTACTACTACCAGCACTCCTGGTTTAATCGCTGCCGGGCTGCAAGGTGGGGACAAAGCAGGCGCAGTTCACTCCCCGGGAGCCGATGATCTCCGCGATCGCTCCAGCATCCTGCCACCGACTTAGGCTTTGGGGGGCCTTACCTGTTCAAGTCATATATCGGACTCTTTTACAGGGTATGATATTGCTATAATCAGAATATTGGGGAACTGGGGGCGGTATTCAGGTTTAGGTTTAGGGTTTAGGGGCGTTAGAGGAGGGGCCCAGCCCGTTGGATGCAGCACAGAAAGTAGCAGCATAAGCTCAGGGCAGGGTTCAGGAATTTGCGGCTTGGCAAACCTTTGGAGTGTTGAGGTACCTACAATGAGGATTTTAAGGCGTTGAGGTATACACACGGCATTCCCTATACCCTCGGAAATTTCCGTTGAGGATGAAGGGCTTCTGCTTACAGCGTGGGGCAAAATGCACTCCTGGTCTTGCGGCTTGCGGGTAAAGCTCAACGTTGAAGACACGGGCTGTTGGCCGAGTTGGTTCGGGTTCAGGCGCACCAAACCCATCCCACTCCAAATTGTCTTTCAAGGTACGGCGCTGGGTGGGACAACCTTGCGTCAACTGACCAAGTCTGACCATCATCACTACACCCCGTACAGGCCTGCATAGGCCTCTACCAACTACTGGTTAGTATAGGAAATCACGGTGATTACGTTGCGATCCTTCTCCATTCCTATTGCACCACTGGTACCGGGCGGGTTCCTATCCCAACTCTTCCATCCTAAGCTGCCGAACTCAGAAAAAATGCCTTGTGAGCGCCAGGATCCGCGATCTCCAGGGTGCCACCGGCACAAAAAGCGGTAAAGAGATCCTCCAGATCGTGGGATTTCGACTAAGGTTTCTGGTCTAGGGCGTTGGGCCCAAGGGCTTGGAAGATTCGATTGGCTCCCAAATTTGATAAACGGTCCGGTTTAAAGACTCAACAGATGTACAA